CGAGCAAGCATGGAGCCGGCTTTCCAACCAATCAAGAAGCCGGACGGTGAGTCATTACACACACCGTCTGGCCTCCTGATTGGCCGGGAAGCCAGCTCCATGCTTCCTGGTGATGAGGGTGCATGGAGCTGGCTTCCTAGCCAATTAGGAAGCCAGACGGCGTGTAATGACTTGCCGCCTGGCTTCCTGATACCAGAAGTTGGTATTGGTGCATCCCTATTTTCTTCAGACCAGTCTAGCCTGAGTGTGTTTAAACCTGTTTAAAACTATGACTACCACCCCCTCCTTTTGGCCCAATCAGTTGTGAATAGGCATATTTCCTGATGACAGTCTCCACGACCCACTGGAAAGTGATCTGTGGTGGATCACTTTTCAGAGGGTGGTTGAGCAGCGGCAGCCCCGCTTTCAGGAGGGGATACTGAGGCCTCATGAATGCAGGGTTTCTTTTTTAATCCCAAAGGGATTTTCTGTTAAAAAAAAAAAACGGCAACCGCGTACACACACGGTTGCAACATGGACCCACCATTAATTCCAATTGTTGCGTTTGACAAGCAGGAGCGCTTGTCAGAAGTGATATGCTGTGCTAAACATCGCGGCTGCATCAATGTATACAGAATTGTGCGGCTGCAGTGCTACCATTGCAGTGAGGGGCTATGCCCATGTGAACAAGGCCTAAAGCTGGAGGATGCTAACTTAAAAGAGAACTAAAGCCAAAACTATTTTTGGCTTCAGTTCTCTTTTGGCTGTAGTGAATATACTCCTGTGACCCCAAACTCAGCAAAGACCAGGCTACTGCTCGCTATATGTTGACAGCGCTGTAGCCGAGAAAGATCCCTACAACATGGTCAGAATCTAACCCGCTGCCTGATTGACAGCTGGCTTTGCATCCCCTCCCCTGTCTGTCCTTCCAGTGAAAGCTGGAGGCACAGGGAGGGGGGGGAAACCCTGCGGGGAGCAGTGACAGATGGTCACCGCTCTCTGCAGGTAGAAGCCATAAGCTGAGCGATCAGTGGCTCACTCAGTTCTCGATCTATAGAGAGTACATTTTACTTTCCCACTAGTTCTCCTTTAAGCTGCCAGTGCTATAAAATAACCTGTTGCTGTTTCCCAAAGAGGAACTGCCTGAATTAAGAGATTATGCTAGTACATTAAATACATATGGTTCAGAGGAGCAGAAATTATGATATTTATGACTTTGCTTTGAAACTATATGCTTTGTTTTCACGTAATTTTCCTCCTGATAAACAGCCTGTTTGTTTTGTTCTTGAAGTGGAACTTTAATGTGATTTGCGGTAGGAAGGATTTTTAATTGCAGAGGAGACATATTCTGTTTCTCCTGCCATAAATATTGCTTACCTTCCTCTTCGCAAGATGCTTCAGAATGTACACTGAGTTGCGCATGGTCAGTTCAGTGTACACTCCCATGTGCATGCGTAAAATTACATCATCCCAGTCCTGCCAATTAAGAGGTCAGCGATGGAGTCTGGGGGCATCCCATTGCTGGAGCCAGTGCTCTTAAAGTGGCAGCACCTTAAAAACTGAATCCTGCTGTGATTACTAATAACTACTACAATAGAGAAGCTTTTTAAACTGTTGGTGGTAATTGCAATTTTTTTTTGCCTGCACAATTTTATTCTAAAGGGTCTCTGCTTTCATAAAATATACAGGGGGGAATTTATTAAAACTGGAGCAGACAGAATCTGGAGCAGTTGCCAGTAACCAATCAGCTTCTTTTTTTTCAGTGTGTTCAGTTAAGCTTTGAAAAAGAAAGCTTAAAGCTGATTGGTTTACATGGACAACTGCTCCAGTATTGATAAATTCCCCTCATAATGTTTTGGGGGTTTTAGGTGATGTTCAGGCCTAAAATGTGCATTTGTGCAAGAAATGGCTGCTGCAGTTGTGAGCTTTTTTAACCACTTCAGCACTAGTTCAGTTTAACCACTTCAGGGCAAGTAGGATATGCACACAGAATCCTGAATTGGTTAAATTTTGGGCTTGAGGGGGAAAAAAAAGAAATTTAATTTCCTTTTACACAACAGAATGCCAATGTGATCTACAACACACATACATTCTTTCCAGTTCAAGGAGTTGTTGCTTCTGTCTCAAGGCGATTCTGGCAAGTTGAGGCAGGTTTTAGCAGAGGTAATATTATCTTTTACCTTGAAGCTATTAGACAAAGGATAAATGTCAGTGGGATAATTACAGAAGGGTTAAAGTGTTGCAGGTAAACTTTTGCAGCCAAATTGGGATAGTGGCTATCTTATATTTCTAATATGATCCCATTCATATAGCATAAACAAAGTAAAAAATTGCTGCTTACCTTTTTTGTTTGCTCGAAAATCTTTAGCTTTTTTACTCTGTAATGTTAAGGATGAAGCTGGGGAGTAAATTTTTCCATAATTTACCTGTAGGGTGCTGGCAGATCTCTATTATCAGTTGTAAATGTGCTGTGCAGGACTTACCTGTTTTAACAAAGCGTTTAAAATCACAAGGCTTGTTTATTATTATAGGTGTTTATCAATCTACGCAGTGGTTTACATACTGTTCATTTGCTTCAGTCCCTGCCCTCAAGGAACTTACAGTCTAAGGTCCCTATCTCACCTATAGCACCTATTTTGATAAGAACCAATTAAATTACTAACATGTCTTTTGGAGTGTGGAAGGATACTGGAGCACGTGCAAATTCCCCGCATATAATGTCCTGGTCGGGATACAAACTGGTAACACCAATGCTGCAAGACAAAAGTGCTAACCACCAAGCCATGGTGCTGATTGTCTTAAGGCTTGGGTGGAACATTGTATGTGAATGCATTTTCATAAAACCTATCCCTCAAGTCTGACCCATCTGCACATTGCCATCTATTCTAAGCAATAGAAGGTGTCTGTAGTGTTTTATGTATAATCAAAATCTCTTGCTTTTAAATTGTGCCTGTTCACATATACGCACTCAGACGCATGCAGCTTGATGCCTAATCTCAAAAAGGTATATGACCTACCGGCCAATAGGGATGTGGGGACAGGATGAAGTGGCCAAGTTCTGACACTACGTAGAAGTGTGTACACTGGCATTTTAGTTTTTGGTAAACACGAGTGGGTTCAGCCAACTGACCTTTTCTCATTTTTTTCCCCCTGAGAATGATGAAGCTTCTTTGTAGTAATTTGTGTCTTCTCCTCCCACCACATGGTCATAACCAAGGTCTCACTCTTTCACGGGTGCATTATTTAATTACTTTCCACTTGTACATTATGGAATATACACCAAGGCAGTGTGATAACATTATTTAAGTTGTTAATGCCCATGTCAGTTGGAGCATTTAGGAATTCTGGTTCGATGTAAGGAGCCAACATGACACTTGTAAAAAAGAGACAAAACTAAAATATTCTGGGGTGAAGACTTTTAAAAATATATTTTTTTAAAATATGTCCATTCTCCTGATTGGCACTTGCTGCTTTCATGCTCCTTTAGTGAACTGTCTGGTTTTTTAACCCTCACTGCTTCAAAGGTAAAAGAGGGATTTCCACATTATGTGGTTCATTTGCTAAAGTAATCATCCTACACTGGGTTCATGTTAATCCTACACTGGGTTCATGTTAACTAGTAAAGTGAGAAAAGGTTATATTCTTTAAAGCTACCCTGAACCTGATCAAGGTAGACTAGGACAGTAAACACTAGTAATATATCAACCATTATGTATTTATTGCAGGACCAGAAGAATAGGTTTAATGGAGGATTATGTGTGTTACACAGTACCATCACACTTCACAGACTTCTTCTACAATAAGACTGAACAAAAAACACAGATTTTACGAATAATACAGAACATAACTAGCCATAATGAGCTGAAAAGACACCATTTACACTTCAAATGTTATAACTATGAAGTCTATCTTTTGTGCCCTGTCTAATGTGCTGAGATTTTTTAGTTTATACATTACTATGTACATTTTATACATTACATATACCATGTACAGTTTATACATTTCCATGTACATTCTTTAAGTGTGACTTAAAGTAGAAAGAATGCCTTTCATTAGCCATAGTACATTTCTATTGTAGTTGCTACAAATAAGTTATTGGCACCAAATATCCGGTTTTGCTGCCCTTAAGTACCTTATCTAATTTTAACTTTGTTCTCATTGTAACACCTCACTTGGTAAATGTTCCGAATTATTGATGTCTGTGTACTTCTAAGTTGAACACCAGGCAGCTAACTACACAGTTGAAATGCATATATTGGTACTGATTTACTTGCCTTCCTCCTGTCTTTTCACCCTTGCCAGACAGCACATCCTGGCTTGGGACCTCAACTGCAGCTACAGCAGGCCCTGGACCTAGACACGTAGGGTGGAGATTGGACGGTGAAGGAGGAAAAGGCACCCTAATCAAGTTATTTCTATGCGTTCTGCTTTTGCCAACATATTCATTGCCAGCATGTGTACACACAGCAGAGCCTGACTGGCTTCTAGTGCTGTACCTCCCTCTCTCGGGCTGAGCACTGCTGCACAAGTGGCTACAGGAGGCTGATATATGACTGTTTCACTAGTTGCCTTCAAAAATACTTTGTGTTAATTTTATTAATGCAATGAAAAATAGTTTTAAGGGTCTGTTGGCTTTCAGCATGTCTTTAAAAGCCTGTAGCCCCTGGCCACACAATTCCTGCCCACAGCTTTTTGGATTGACAGCACTGCCTCTTTTGCTAAAACCCTCCCACTGTAAGCTTCAGTGTCTGGGAGGGGAAGTGTGTGATACCCAAATGGAGGACTTGGCTCAGTCAGGGAAAGTAAAGTAAGTTTGTTTTTGTTTTTTTACACTTTGAGGCTTGTGCATCACATAGTAACTGAATTTGTGACCTTTAGCTGTACTTTGAATAAAACTGATGCTATATCTTGTATCATATTTGCATCTGCTATATCTGCATAATCTTGTATCACACTGGTAATGGTTTTAGGTTAACAGTACAGTTTTAGAATAACCATGATCATTAATTTTTCTTTTCCAGACGTTTTTGTTACAGAAGATGATGTGGCACTACCAAACCACTTTTTACATGAACTACCAAGTTACCAGTCTCTGGTAAGGAGAAGACCATCAAATTATGGAACCATTGACTCCCATAGAAGTAACCGCAATCTGAAACGCTCACTATCTCAAGAGCCTAGTAATTTGGAATCTGCAGATACTGATTTTAGTATTCCTTTGAGGGAACGCCCTATCAGCATTCAGGAAAAAAGAAATATACGGTAATATTTTTTATTTTAATATGGGCTTAGTCTATGGAAGACACCTCATTTTGCTTTTTATAGGGAAGGAGGTTTTCTAGTTTAGATGAAAATCCCCTATTTCCCCGATCACCTTCCATGACAGCAATATGAAAGAGAATTTGTTCGTCCTTTTATAGCAAACACAAGCAAAAAAAGTGAAAAACCCCTACCACTCTGTACATCCCACTGTTTTATTATTTATTATTGGTATTTTTCAAAGCGCTTTACATAGAGCACATTCATATCAGTCCCTGCACTCAAGGAGCTTACAATCTAAGGTCCCTACCTCACATGCATATATATACAAGAGCCAATTTAGACAGGAGCCCATTAACCTACCAGCATGTCTTTGGAGTGTGGGAGGAAACCGGAGTACCCGGAGGAAACCCGCGCAAGCACAGGAGAACATGCAAACTCCTTGCAGATAGTGACCTGGCCGATATTCAAACCAGGGACCCCAGTACCTCAAGGCAGAAGCGCTAACTACTATGCCACTGTGCTTTGTGTTTTCTACCATTCAGAAGTAGTGCAGCACTTACGGGGTTTTTTTCTGATGGGATGGCTGTTGGGCCATTGGTCCCCCTCTGAGTGCAGATCTGCATTGGCCTTTTCTGTTTTTGCCAGAGGGTAGCCTTTTTTCCGGATGCTAGGATCTTGCCCCCTTTATTTTGTTGGGGGTCAACTCCTAAAGTCCCGGGTGCATTTTGTCCCTGTCCTTTTCTCCTGCCTTCTTTGCAGGGTCTTGTGAGTGACTGAGTGATCTCGACAATGGTAGTTTAAAGTAGGGCGTTGTTGGCATTTTCTTGCCAGCAGGATTTCAGGAAGCAGATGAAGTGTCTTAGACATTGGTTATGCGGCCCAAGCCTTGTTTGGGAGTCTGTGACGTCACTTCTGGTGTCTGAGATGACATCTTTTCGACTGCGCTGGAACCCACTGGGCAGCCTGGGGAGAAGGATGCTGGTCCCAGTGGAGGAACAGAAAGCTTTAGACACTAACAATGATGGAGATGAGGTTAAGCCTTCTAGACAATTATTCACCTTAGATGAAATTAATGATTTATTACAAGCCATCTATGCAACAGAACAAATTCCAGATCCCCCTCAGATTCTTTCTATACAGGACAGAATGTAAAGAGGGCAGGAAGAATCTTTACATTCTCCCTTAAATATCTTATTTCTTAAATTGTTAATAAAGTCAATGAGTTATTTTAAATACTGACTAAATCACTTACAATAGATGCTGTTCCCTAATGTTTAAAAGTTTTAGTTTTCTGAAGAATCAGCTAGTTCCCTGAGCACTGACCCTGATATCCTGTTTTACTGTGGCTCCTTTCCCTTGCAAGGTCCTATGGAGCCACCATTGTGTGTGCTATTAACCTGTGTGTGTCTCAGTAATTTACGGTGCTTTCCGTGCTGGGTGAGGCATTCCCCAGCCTGCCGAAGCCCCACCCCCAACTCAGTAACCAAGCTATGTGTGGAGGAGGAGACAGGGAGGTGCCTCCCTGTCCCTCACTTGCTCATCACTGGTGAGGCATCAAGATTGATGTCCTCAATGTGTTTTTTTTTTTTTAATAAGACAGCTTGGACCAATTGCGCTTGGACAGCTGCCTGCTGAGTTCTGGCTTGTGTTTATGTGAATAATGGCGCTCCTCTGCAGCTGTCAGTTACTACTCCAGTCTCCTTTGAAATAGCAGGATGCTGATAGGCAGTCTTTTTTTCACTAAAAAGAAGGGAGCAGAGCATGAGGAGGCAGCAACGGCATGGTTGTGTGGGCTTTATATGCACTGTCTGTTATGCCCCCTCTCCACTGTGTGTTGTCAATCAGAAATAAAGTCCCCTTGCTTGCAGTTGTTGCTGTCAGTCAGAACTAACATTTCCTTGCTAGCCGCATTGTTATATAGCAGTGGGGGAGGAGGGAAGCCTGCTGTTTGACAACACTGCTCAGCAACCACTGCACAGATTTAAAAAAGGACAGGTGCAATGTGCACTGGGTTCCCTGGTAGATTTAACAAAATAATGACGTCAATACTTCATCTCTAAAGAAGCAAGGTCAGGAGAGTGGAAAATCTTCTTCAAACCTTTATCAGTTAGAGCTCTATCGAACGATTCTCTCAGATAGCGGTTATCCTAAAGCCAGATTGGATGTATTTGACAAAGGTATCCACAGTGTTTCACAAAACTCAGGAAGTTGTCCTGCCATATTTTTGTGATGACCCTAGGGAAGAAAACTTTGATTGTTTAGATGTTGTAAAGCGCTGCACTAACTGTTGGCGCTATATAAATCCTGTATAATAATAATAATAATAATGTACAAAGATGTTTGCTAAGATATCTAGATATCTGAAGAGACTTTGCAAGATAGAGCCGCCTTCTAATTTTGATTACTGGCCCTAAAAAGGGCTTGCAAGCTTCTGAGAGTACAGTGGCTAGGTGAATTAGACAAAAACTATATTTTTGTATATAAAGAAGATGGATCGCGGGTACCAGTTTCACTAAAAGTGCATTCTACCAGAATAGCAACATTGTGGACAGGAAAAGTTGGTGCTTCAGTGGAACAAATCAGTCATATGGTCTAGTCAGAATACCTTCTTTAAAAATTATAGAGGGTATGTCTTCTAACAACAGAACCTGCCATTTGGCAGAAAAGATCTAAAAGTTGTGGTCCCACTCTGAAGTAAGCTTTTGTTACATGCTTTTCCTCTCATGTTGTTTTCCTGAAAGATGATTGGGGAAATGCCCAGCTGGTTTTACTGGTATTTTTAGGAATCCTGCAGGACACATCTACATCCCGCCATTTAATTAGGATTCCTATTATTTTTTCCCCCTGCACTGGTGGAGGTATTTTACTTCTCAACTGAAGAATGAGGAAGATGAGAGTGCTTTTTCACTATTCTGTTTTCTGTAGAAGGAGGAATCTGCCATTCCTCTTGTTGCTGTCCTGCAAGATTCATAGAAATGCTGTTACCTGTAAAACTAATTTAGGATCTTTCTTGGTACACACAGGGTTCTTAGGTCCTACATCGTCCCTGAGAGGTATAGTGGGACCCACATCCAACAGTTGTTTGTGTTGCATAGTGGACTGTAGTTCTGTTGTATCTGTATGTTTTCATTGCGATGGGAGCACTGCAGGCAATGGAATTATTGGTCCTATGTTAGCTAAAAGCTAGGAGCGACATTCGTGGCATCTCAAGTTTTTACTTAGGATGTACCCATCCAAGAAAAAAAGGTTCTAAATTGTAAGCCACATTTTATTTATAACCTCCCTTTGCTGTATCTGTGTTTTTTACATGCTCTGTTTATCACATTCCGCCAAAGTGACAGTGTCTGTGTAAAGCCTACCTCCAACCACTTTACTTGTGCCTCTCCAGTACTCCTCCACCACTCCTTCCTCCATTAAATCCTACCCCCAAAAAATTGGTTGTTGTTGTTCCTCAGGCTGGGTTCACACCTGGGCGTACGGAATATGCGCGTTTGCCGCACGTTTTTACAGCGATTTGCGGTAAAAGAAACGCGCAACAAATGCGTGTTTACGAGGGCTATCCGGCTGTATCCTAATGGATACGCGCGGAAAATATGCCCCAAAGAAGCTCCTGTACTTCTTTGGGCGTAGGGCGTTTTCAGCGCGTTCCCACGCGCTGAAATACGCCCAGGTGGGAACCATGCCCATAGGAAATTATTGGTTTTCACATGTTGAGCGTTTTACAGCGCGCAGGAACCAGCTGTAAAATGCCCAGGTGTGAACCAGGCCTCAGGGCTTGCAGCTGCAGAGGCCAGCATGGGCTTTTTTTTTTTTAAAGCTTATTTACTGATTGTTAAGACTATATAAATACTTGAACGTCCATAACCTGGTCACAGATTCACTTTACGTTACATTGTAGATATTTATGATTGTATGCTTAGTCTACCTTACTGTCTTATAGGAAAATTCAGGCATTGCATTTCCAGAGTACCACAGGATGGGGTCAGTTAAAAGACAACAGCAGAAGTGTATATCAGAAATTCCATGGTGAAACTACCGCTTTATTGTCTAATATTCAGCTTTGGAGGAGTAACATTCACAGTATTGAGGGTAAGGATTGGTTGTGTAAAGCCTAACGCCATTCAAGACCGTTTTATATTATAAAGTTCTTATATAAAGCCAGGTATGCAGAATTGGATAGAGCTGTGCCACACTATACAGTGTTCTGGTCTCATCTATTTTCCCCACTATGGGGATACCAGCCTTAGTTAGCAATGGCATGATAAATATTCATTTCATTTCATGTTCATGTTCTTCATAATATTAAGAAACTGACCTAAAATCATGATTTTGTATTGCTTTAGAAAAAATGTGACCTGTCCCTTTTAAGAAAAAGTATCGGTACTTGTACTCGGTCTTAAAAAAGTGGTATCGGTGCATCCCTAACCGTTATTATGATTCTAGGGAAATAGTTAGAGACTCCTGTCAACTATTTATTGCTATATTTGTCCCTACTAGGGAAATTTCCCCTCACTTGCTCACCATTTGACAGATGTCCTATAAAGGAGGAAGTGAGAGGAAACCTCCTGTGTGGAGAAAACAACTGATAGATAAACATTCTCTTACTGTATCTCTAAATTTATCTTAAATACATTTTAAAAATAGTTTTTGCAGGTTGATTGCTCAAGGCCAGGAAACTGCTGAGGGCCGGTTCACACCACAAACTCCATGTTCCAGTGCGTTTGGCCTCTGGAACGCAAGCTGGCCAGCTCCCTGCGTTCAGGGGTGGGAGGGGGCGTGGCAGTGCATTGAAGTCAATGGCACCACAGCCGCGTGCCCGCAGTGCGATCAGCCGCACCCGGAACGCAGGCACATTAGGTTGAACTCGATGTACATGTGTCTTTTTTCAACCTGACTAACTATGTAACTACGTATGTTACTGTGTGTTGAGGTGTGCACTGCAACGCTTGTGCATTGGATCTGCGTTGCCTTGCTTTCACAATGAATATCACTGCAATATGTTAGTACACCTTTGCAATGAAAAGGTGTGTTCCAGTCCTAAATAAAGGGAAAACGCTCCTAATGCATCATTGTAAGCAAATATTTTTCTTTTTGGTTTTATTCATTGGATGACATAGCTCTGCTTTAGATAATCACTGGCTGGGTATATCAGAGGAGTAGAATGCTAGGGCATTAAGTGCCATAAAGAATGAAACCGCCCAAAAGGCAGCCCCCGCTGGGGGCCAAAACCCCCTCCACAGTTGTGGACAGCTTGGTTTTTATCTTCCATGGTTGAGAGAATATCAGTTGTAGGATGCCTGGGCGACCTCCTATTGTAGATGGAGTCCAACCTATTTATTTCCATTTGGGCTCTGGAGGAATATTGGGTGGATTCTGAACGTTGAGAAAATCCTTGCTAATTCCATCATTCTGTCTGATCTTGATACCAGCCAGGCCAAGTAGTTTCTTCAGCTGAAAGAACTACGGAATCTTTATGATTCAGCTCTTTCCACAGTATTTATACAAGGGGTAGAAAACTGGCTATCTCAGCTGGAAAACTCTGGATCAGGGAAAGTGGGCCAAGATGTTTTCCAGCAAATCTGCCACAGATGGGGAGGGGGAAATGTCAGATGTAGACATTCTGGCATCCCATCACAATTGAATGATGGACATATTTGTAGCATAGGCAAAGGAGCCTTGGACAAATGCAGTGTTAACATTGGTAGCTCTGTAGGATTGCTACACTCTGATGGGATGGGATTTGTAGTTTCACCACACCTAGAGGGCCGGAGTTTACCTACTTTTAACAATATTTTAATTGCCTATTCAAAGAATGAATTAGGGCAGAGAGGGTAAGCTTTGGCACCGTTGATCAGCTCAGATTAAAGCTTTTGAGAATCTTCTAGGTTGGAAAACTAATAGTTAAGTTGAGGTTTACTTTTTTTAGGATCATTAAAACCAATAAGAAACCAGGGTTTTAAAGTTCGGGCAGGCTTATTTTTTTTTTCAGATAAATCACAGAACTTCAGGATCTAGTGATCGACTACAATCTCACGTTTACTTTTCTAATTTATATTGAGATTGTAGTCCCTAGGAGATTAGGGAAACAGACCTTGAAAGTCAAAATAATAATTTCCTGTACCATTCCTAATTTAGTCTTAATGGTTTATAAAAGGAATGCATTCATTTTGAATGTTTTGAGAACATTAAGTGAATATGGTGATAGTGTGCATTGGACCATCTGTTACTAATGCTGCCTATAGACCAAATTGTCTTCTCTCATAGCTATGCATGGGCTTACTTACATAATTGTTTTAATGTTAACAAAAGCTTATGTATTTGCTGGTACTTACGGAAGCTGTATTTTATTTTTCATATATTTATATATTTATTTATTTTTTAACTTCTAGGTAAATTTGGCACAGGCATCGGGTCTTATTTCTCGTTTCTGAGATTCTTAGTGTTGCTGAATTTTGTCATATTCCTCCTCATTTTCTGTTTTACAACACTGCCAGTTGCCATTTCCAAACAAGGAATATTTAACAGCAGCCAAATTGTTCCATCTGGTAAGGTGCAGCTTTTGGCCACTGCATACACTGCAAGCACTTTCAATAACATAATATATTACTAGATTTTTACTTGGCACTTTCTTTTCCTTGGCAGGGGCTGAATGTGCTAGATACTCACCAGTTGGCAAAGGACTTCTGTATTTCTACAATAATATTATAGACTTTCTTTCTGGAACGGTAGGTGCCATGTTTTCTGCAGAGCTACTATTATACCACTGACAATAGAGAAGTGCTGTTCGGTGGCTGTTATTCAAAGCAAATTCCATTCTTGTGAGTGTACACAATGCAGAGTCCTTTCTCACGCAAATTTTACAATGTTTATTGTTCAAAGTAGGCTTCAGATAAGTGTCCAGTATTCACACAAGTCTGATGTATTTTGTTTAACAAAGACATGTGATCTTTAGTCTAGGGTTGGCTTCAAGTCCAGTGACAAGGTGTCCAATTTATGCATATCTTAATTGTACAGTACAGGACACAGGATCAGTCCTAACCATGGGTTATACTGCTACCTTGAGGTGATTGGACACTGTCATAAAAGCAGCAAGGACAGCCCTGTTATAGATCCTCCTACTCCCTGTAAGACTTTGTTTTGTAACAAGCAATAGGGTTAAAAAAAGGAACTGAGGGGATGGGCCTGTATACTGTGGAAAAATAGAAAAATGTCACCAGCACACCATGAGTTGAAAAAGCAAAATATTTTATTGCCAATAGCTGTATCTCATTGCCCTGTATACTGTACGCCAAAAAAATAATTTTACAGGCAAGTCAAAAATTATCTTTTCTTAACCGTACAGTACAAGACACGTAAGCACTTAGGCATCCATAAGGAGTCCACCTGGGGGGCGGGCAGCACATCAACCAAACACTAACAAGCCTGTTCAGTAAGTCAAGAGGGCACGACAACTCAGAGAGCAGCTTCAAGCTGCTTACATCCAAAACTAGCATTAGTTTGCATATCCACGTGGTAAAACTTAAACACATGAACAGAAGACCTTTCAAAACTGAGAAACATATGCATGATGCTGAAAAGCCCATGAAGCACTAACCAATCTGGTGGACTGCACCTTAACAGGGAAAGGAGGAACCCCATTATGGGTTGGACTTGATGGACGTATGTCTTTATTCAACCCCAAATACTATGTAAACTATTCTTTAGACTATAGACTCAAATGATGACATGTCTGACTCATTTAGCAATGGTGGAACAAGAGGCAGAAAGCCCACTATGGAAACCTTCAGGAAGGACAAAGAAGGAATCAGATTACCAAAAGGAAGCTGAAACGGAGAGACAATCAAAGCACATACAACATCCAGACAGTAGGGAGAAGCTTCTGTGGGATGCTTTGGAGTAGGATATAAGGAGGGAAGGATCATTACAAGACCAGTAATAGAGACTCTGCTTCTTTTGAAGTCTTGTTAATTGAAAAGATAATCCAACATTGTGCATGATACCACTCCGTATTGGCTGCAGCAGTAGCAATATGCAAGTATTTTACTTTCTGAAAATGCAGGTTCCCTGTTTGTCTCTGGTTTTAGTAGTTACCAAACAATTGACCTGGAACGAGGATGCAGCCAGGAAAGTCAAAGCTCTGCATCTCCATGCTTGTTCCTGGTAAGTGATTCAGAAAGTACTGAAAATGTTCAATACTTTCACATCACAGACTACTAGCATTTTCAGATGTAGAGCTGGCATATATAAACTTTAACAATGAACTTCTCGTATTTGCTCCTTTTTGGGCCTGTTAAATAAAGCTTTTAAAATATTTTGTGATAGCTGTTTGATGAATGCAAATAAATACCCATAGTATCTCCAAGTAATCCAGTGAACTTCCTTCCACCTGTGCCTCCATGCACTCTGCACCTTCCTCCTGAGTTATAGTGATGGGGAGTTGTAGGTGTTCTGTAGTAATTACAGATGTCTTGTCCTAGGATGACAATGCTGCTTCTTAATAGATACAGTACGGCATGTGAGCATTGTCACCTGAGGACAGCAAGTGTGTTAATGGCAGTATCACCAGGAGAAAATAACGTGAGATAAACCCTGTGTAAAGAGAGCTAATGGAGGGGGGGGGGATTTATCAAAACTGAAGCAAACTGATTCTGGAGCAGTAGCCCTTGGCAACCAATCAATATCTCTCTTCAGTTTGCTCAAGATTTGAAAATTAATAAAAGATGATTGGCTGCAGTGCAAATCTGCTCCAGATTTTGTCTGCTCCCGTTTTGATAAATTCCCCCCAATGTATCCGCCAAGTCAAAGGACTGGTAAGCTGCAATATATAAAGCTTTGGTTATTGGGTTCAGATACTCATTTTAAGTCACAGCAACCTACACATTTCCTTGGCACAGGTTTCCTTTAACTTTTTACTAATATTACAATACTGTGTTTGTTTCTTGCAGGGTTTCCTCGAACTGACGTACCTTTTTTATGGTTATTACACCATAGACACAGTCAATGTTTACATCATCCGCTATAGTCTGCCTCTTGCCTATATAATGGTCACATTTAGCTATTTGCTCTTAAGCATTGCATGGATTGTGAAGAGGTAAAGTTTCCTTTGCAGTTAACAAATGTATTTTTCCAGCTGTAGTTTGCCATTATACATTGCTTATTTGAGTGGATTTCAATTTTCAGGGCAGTAGAAGGTTTTAAGCAGAGCCTGGTACATGATGAAGATCGGTTTCAGAGTTACTGTAACAAAATATTTGCTGGCTGGGATTTCTGCATCACTGACCGGAGTTATGCTGATCTGAAGCACAGAAGTCTTCAGTATGAGTTAAAAGTAAGTTATCTGGAGCTATTGTGTTTGTTTGAGACATGACTATGCTCCTTTCACTGCTGCTATCAATAGAATCTGCTTTTCACATTTTTGTAGTCACAGGAGGAGTGAAAGAGCTCTGCTTTACCTGGGAGAGAACAATGACTGCCAAAAGACAGAGTTTTTTATGTTACAACAGATTTAAAAAAAACAATTTAAAACAAATCCTACAGGCTAGTTATATACATTATAAAGTTTTTTTGCAACATTAATAATATGCTTCTATGTTTTAAATGTTGCGTTAAGCCATAACTCAGTAAGTAATATAAAAGGAAATGGAAGGTACTGCTATAATTACACATCTGTCCCAGTTTTAAGTAAGGAAAAATCTTGTGGTAAAAGACCTGGACCAGTCAC